GGGCAAAAAGGACTTCAGAAGGTCTCGCGCTCAAAGGCTTTCCAACAGCCCCCGCAGATGCAAAATGGAAATGAAAAAAAATGATAATGAATTTGGAGATGATAAAGAAATGATAATGGTGATGTAAAATAAATGATAACCAAAATGATGATAAAATGAAAAAATAAATATGTTGACTCCCCCCAGGTTGTGGCTCACATATTCTCTTAATATTGGACAAAAAGAGCAGGAACCTAGTAGAATGGGATACGTTTAGATTATGATTGGTAATCACATGTAATCGACAAAAAAAGGTGTGACAAAAGCACAGCGCAGAGATTTTGAACTGCAATCGTCAGAGCTATGGGGCAACAAAAACGATCTAAGCGCACAACTTCAAATTCAATTTATCGGTTTTGAAACCAAATCTGTCCCATTTTTCTTTCTTAAAGTCTCTGCATAAAAAGCATGTTTTGCGAACTTTTTGGGGCTTATCTGGAGGTGGACGCAGTAGCTTCTACAAAAGGTTGTGCACGCGTGTGCCACTACAAAATGCAGTGCATGACAAAAGCCATCCAGAATCTAGGACATCACGCATCGAATCTGTGCTTTGTGGGTGAAAGGAACTCTGAACATGGATTCGTTGAACTTGGGTGAAACTTGACTATTGGACAAAAAGAGCAGGAACCTAGTAGAATGGAATACGTTTAGATTATAATGGGTAATCGCATGTAATGGCCAAAAAAGGTTTTACAAAAGCACGGCGCAGAGATTTTGAACTGCAATCGTCAGAGCTATGGGGCAACAAAAACGATCTAAGCGCACAACTTCAAATTCAATTGATCGGTTTTGAAACCAAATCTGTCCCATTTTTCCTTCTTAAAGTCTCTACATTGATTTTTTGTTTTTTTTTGGCTCATCTTACCATGCAATGATCGCGAGTCAAGAGCCAAAAATGGTCTGAAGGTCCAAGCCATATGTCAATGTGAGCCAGCATGACTGGCAAAAGAGGGCTATAGGGTTTCCTGTATGACCTGATGATGTTGATGATGTTGATGATGTTGATGATGTTGATGATGATGGTGCTGATGGTGATGCTAATGGTGTTGATGTTGATGATTGTGATGTGGTGGTATGATTGTGGTGTGATGATGATGATGGTGATGATGATGATGATGATGATGATGTTGATGTCGATGTTGATGATTGTGATGTGATAATCTGATTGTGGTGTGATGATGATGATGATGTTGATGATGATGGTGATGATTATGATGGTGATGATGATGGTGATAATGATGTTGATGTTGATGTTGATGTTGATGTCGATGATGATGTTGGTGTTGGTGTTGATGGTTGTGATGTGATGATCTGATTGTGGTGTGATGATGATGATGATGATGATGAGGATGGTGATGATGATGTTGATGATGATGATGTTGATGGTGTTGATGCTGATGCTGATGTTGGTGATGATGATGTTGATGAAAATGCTGGTGTTGATCTTGATGATGATGCTGATGCTGATGTTGATGATTGTGTTGATGCCGATGATGGTGCTGATGTTGATGTTGATGATGGTGTTGATGATGATGCTGATGTTGATGATGATGTTGTTGATAATGATGATGTTGATGATCGTGGTGTGATGATATGATGATGATAATGATGATGATGATGATGATGATGATGATGTTGGTGACGATGCTGATGTTGCTGTTGGTGATGATGATGATGATGATGTTGATGATGATGATGCTGATGCTGATGTTGTTGATGATGTTGATGTTGATGTTGATGTTGATGTTGATGATTGTGATGTGATGGTCTGAATGTGGTGTGATGATGACAATGATGATGGTGATGATGATGGTGATGATGGTGTTGATGTTGATGATTGTGATGTGATGATCTGATGGTGGTGTGATGATGATGATAATAATAATCATGATGATGGTGATGATGATGCTGATGATGATGCTGATGTTGATGTTGATGATGATGTTGATGCTGATGTTGATGATGATGTTGGTGCTGGTGATGATGCTGGTGTTGATGTTGATGGTGATGTTGATGCTGATGTTGATGATGATGATGTTGATGATTGTGATGTGATGTGATGTGATGTGATGTGATGTGATGTGATGATATGCTGATGATGATGATGGTGATGATGATGATGGTGATGATGATGATGATGACGAGATGTTGATGATGATGTCGATGCTGATGTTGATGATGATATGGTTGTGATGATTGTGATGATGATGATGATGTTGATGATGTTGATGCTGATGCTGATGTTGATGATGATGATGATGATGTTGATGATAATGCTGGTGTTGATCTTGATGATGATGCTGATGCTGATGTTGATGATTATGTTGATGCCGATGATGATGCTGATGTTCATGTTGATGATGATGTTGATGCTGATGTTGATGATGATGTTGATGTTGATGATGATGTTGGTGACAATGATGATGTTGATGATCGTGGTGTGATGCTATGATGATGATGATAATGATGATGATGATGTTGGTGACGATGCTGATGTTGATGTTGGTGATGATGGTGATGTTGATGATGATGATGATGATGCTGATGTTGATCTTGATGATGATGATGATGTTGATGTTGATGTTGATGATTGTGATGTGATGATCTGATTGTGGTGTGATGATGATGATGTTGATGATGGTGGTGTTGATGTTGATGATTGTGATGTGATGATCTGATTGTGGTGTGATGATGATGATGATGATGATGTTGATGTTGATGATGGTGTTGATGTTGATGATTGTGATGTGGTGATCTGATTGTGGTGTGATGGTGATGATGATAATGATGATGATGGTGATGGTGATGATGATGCTGATGATGATGCTGATGTTGATGTTGATGATGATGCTGATGCTGATGATGATGTTGATGCTGATTATGATGCTGATGTTGATGTTGATGATGATGATGATGCTGATGTTGATGATGATGATGATGATGATGATGATGATTTGATGATGATGATGATGATGATGATGATGATGATGATGATGATGATTGTAATGTGATGTGATGTGATGTGATGTGATGTGATGTGATGTGATTTGATGTGATGTGATGTGATGATATGATGATGATGATGATGATAATGATGGTGATGATGATGATGGTGATGATGATGTTGATCATGATGATGAGATTTTGATGATGATGTTGATGCTGATGTTGATGATGATGTTGATGCTGATTATGATGCTGATGTTGATGCTGATGATGATGATGATGATGGTGATGATCTTCTTCTTCCTCTTGTTGTCGCAGCGGCGGTGGAAACAACGTTGTGGCTCAAGTGGTAAGAGATCCACCCCTTGAACATAGAGTCTTGAGATTTCCTAAGTGGGTATTCGGAAAGGTCCTTCTGCGAGTGCCACAGCCGCGACAGCTGCATCATCTGGGAGGCACAGAACCTTGCAATCTTAAATCACGCAGCCAGAGACAGCAACTAGCAGATGGAAAGTTAGTTGGCAAAGGAAAGATACCCTTACAAGGGTCAAATGAAGCAAGCGATATGAGACCAAAATCATGTTGTGCTCACTCGGTCACCAGGATAGAAGTGGCCAGGCATCATACGACAGTATAACATGGTGCTATGAAGAAACAGCGGCATCCGCAGTTTGCAGTGCTTCACGCCGGGCATCCTCGTCCTGCGCCATGAGATGTCATAAATATCGACAGGCACATTTTAGAATCAATAGACATCCACGACTTTTCTTGACGTTCTCCTGGCTCTGCACATCAAGTCATGCTTTCAGTAATAGATATTATGCAGATACTTCATGATACTTCGTGAGAGTTCATGTCCTTCATGATATTCCATAATTTGTCATTATATTTCATTGTGCTTCGTGATACTTCCATATATTTCATGACACTTCATGATACTTGATTATACTTCGTGATATGTCATGACACTTCATTATACTTCATGATACAGTATTGCATGGTACTTCGTGATACTTCAATCCGAATGGGGCTCGTAGTAATTGGCACTTTGCAATCCAGATGCGAGAACAAAAAGCAAGCAAGATGAAGAGACAGCCGATGTTGCTGTCTCTTGCTTGCAGCACGTCTCTTTTGCCTTCTGTTTGAAAGAGTAGTTGATTTAGGAGCCTGATTGTGATGATACTGTGAGTGTCCCTACATACATACATATGTATATATATATGGTGTATATATATATACTTATACTGAATGGAAAAACTAGGGAATTGTAAATGAATCATATATACCTGCATCTCCCAGCCATCCTCCCTAATTGGGGTATTCCGCTCACAATCCTCCTTGTACATTCACTATATGTCATTATACATTGACTTCTTCTCTTCTCATTAATTAACTTCTCCTTTGGCTGGAGTACCTTTGCGGACACCAAACACACCTTACAGCATACAACGAAGATGAACAAACATATGTGACATACTACATAGATAAGTCTTAGATACGTGTAATCCATTATAATCTATCAGTTTAGTCTCCTTGCGCTTGTCAGAATCCAGACTCATGATCTTGATCTCTGGATGTTTCTCTAAGCGCTCTCGAACCTGTCAGAGCGGGGGCGTTTGTTCCATCAGGTCAGATCAGGTGCAGAGATATGCGTTTCGGACGAGTCCATGATCGCACGAAGACCTGAAGGAAGCGCTTCTTTATACTTCTCTTGCAGTTACCAGGTTAAAGAAGGTCAAAATGGTCAGAGCAGTTTCCTCGGAGATTTGAAGCATATTTCCTCCAAACTCCAAGACCAAGGCTCGCCAGAGTCTGACAGGTGCAGATTCTGACGAGAAAATCTGTCAAAGATAGGACTTAAAACTGCCCCGATACGATGAACTCCTACTAATCATGCCTTCAGAGGCTAAGGTGCAGGCAGAAAAGAAAGAGCCACGCAATGTCACGCAAATACTTGAATCTTTCTCATGTCAGGACTCAGGACATGATATATCAGATATATCATGATAAAGAAACGACTTGGACTGCCAGTGCACCTTGCTGGCTGCCTGCACGGACAAGCCTGGTGCCTAGTAGCCAGGTTGTGCCGTTCTAGTCACTAATTTGAGCGGAGCAAGAAACTCAGATCGATAAAGGATCCGCGTTTGCTCTGCTGTGGGCTGTGCAACCATGAAGTGGGAAAACATCGTATGCGCAAAAAAGCTGGGCTTCAGACTTTCAGGGTGGCGTCAAGAAAAAACAGCTGCGAGTCTTGGTCAATGTTTGAACATTGCCTGGTTCACTTCTTGACAAAGATGCCGTCAACTCGTTGTGGAGTGGCTGGAGGATGATATTCTGCCTTCCTGGTGGGATATGGTGGAATTGGAATTGATGGGTGCGTCCAGGCTGCAACAAAAACACGTTCGCTACAAAATGCGTAAATATCATTAGATTCAACAAGTTCATTTGAGGCATTGTGCTTCCAGGAAAATTCAACAGCTCCACTTTTGTTCAGTGTTCAAACTCAATGCTCCTTGAGTACCAATTGAAGGCCTCCACTACTTTTTGCTCAAACATGCCAGCATGGTATTTCACTTGCAATGTTCCAGTTTCTTCAGCACGAATGTGTTGAGTCAACAAGCGCAAATCGTCATCAGCATTGGCGGTGGCAGTGCTGTTGCACCTCCCACAGGACATATGGACTGGATCTTGGAGGCCGATCAAATGAGCTACGAATGGCTATGTATCGTATCAGCATGTGCATATATATATATATATACATACATTATTAAATATCATATATATTATTTAATATTATCAAAGGAAGTTGGGAAGCAATACTTCCGTGTTACGGACAAATAGAATTCTGAGACTTGAAATGATGAAGGGCGGTACGTCATCTAACAATACATAACAAAAGAATAAGAAGCTATGCAGTTGACCTTGATGAAGGGTGGTAGATCACATAAATCACATAACAATACATAACATAACAATACATAACAAAAGAATAAGAAGCTATGCAGTTGACCTTGATGAAGGGTGGTAGATCACATAACAATACATAACATAACAATACACAACAAAAGAATAAGAATCTATGGAATTGACCTTGATGAAGGGTTGTACATCACATAGAATAAGAAGCTATGACACAGGGTGGTGACGAAGGGAGGTGGTGACGATGGGAAGTGGTGACGATGGGAAGTGGTGACGATGGGAAGTGGTGATGATGGGACGTGGTGAGGAAGGGCAGTGGTGACGATGGGAAGTGGTGACGATAGGAAGTGGTGACGATGGGAAGTGGTGAGGAAGGGAAGTGGTGACGAAGGGAAGTGGTGACGATGGGAAGTGGTGATGATGGGACGTGGTGAGGAAGGGCAGTGGTGACGATGGGAAGTGGTGACGATAGGAAGTGGTGCGGTGACGATGGAAAGTGGTGACGATGGGAAGTGGTGAGGAACGGAAGTGGTGACGTAGTTCTTGAAGCTGTGTGCGTAGTTCTATGCGTTTTTTGAAGCTGTGGTTGCAGATCGCATTGGAATGGCTGCATGAATGTTGCATGGGCTATGTTTTGGGGAGGAAGCCGGAGTACGAAACCTTGTGTTTTTCCGTGTAAAATGGCTGCAGCCGGCGATGAAAGGTACCTCGTCTGTGCGGCGGTTGCGGCTGGGGTCGTTTCTGTCGCGAATGGTTCCTTCTATGTGTTTTGCAACGAGTGGTTGTGTCTGCGTGCGTAGTTCTATGCGGTTCTTGAATGGCTGGTTGCAGATTGCATTGGAATGGCTGCTTCATTGTCGTCATTTGATGTTGCCACGTGCGTAGATAGGTGCAGGTTTGCTACGGGATGCTGCGAAACGCATTGTAATGGCTGCATGAATGTTGCATGGGCTATGTTTTGGGGAGGAAGCCGGAGCACGAAACCTTGTGTTTTTCCGTGTAAAATGGCTGCAGCCGGCGAATGAAAGGTACCTCGTCTGTGCGGCGGTTGCGGCTGGGGTCGTTTCTGTCGCGAATTGTTCCTCCTATGTGTTTTGCAACGAGTGGTTGTTCTTGTGTGCGTAGTTCTATGCGCTTCTTGAAGCTGTGGTTGCAGATTTTATTGGAATGGCTGCTTCATTGTCGTCATTTGATGTTGCCACGTGCGTAGATAGGTGCAGGTTTGCTACGGGATGCTGCGAAACGCATTGTAATGGCTGCATGAATGTTGCATGGGCTATGTTTCGGGGAGGAAGCCGGAGCACGAAACCTTGTGTTTTTCCGTGTAAAATGGCTGCAGCCGGCGAATGAAAGGTACCTCGTCTGTGCGGCGGTTGCGGCTGGGGTCGTTTCTGTCGCGAATTGTTCCTCCTATGTGTTTTGCAACGAGTGGTTGTTCCTGTGTGCGTAGTTCTATGCGTTTCTTGAAGCTGTGGTGGCAGATCGCATTGGAATGGCTGCATGATTGTTGTCATTTGGTGTTGCCACGTCCGTAGATAGGTGCAGGTTTGCTACGGGATGCTGCGAAACGCATTGTAATGGCTGCATCCAGGCTGCGATAGTGATTTGTCCGCAGATTTTCGCAATTTTGGCGCTAGTATCCCTGTTGGAATTCGGACCAAACCTGGGTGTCTGATTCTATAGGGACTAAAACGAAAACCCAGGACTAAGGGGGGGCGATTTTCCCTATAGAATAGAAACTCTACCAAGCCAACAGCCCCCTGCTGCTCCTATAAAATGAAAACCCAGCCTCATACTGGCCACTGCTTCTCATAATCCACTATAAAATGAAAAACTGAGTCCAAGTGATTAGGAAAAAGACACCCTATAGAATAGAAAACTGGGTTTGCAATGCCTTAAGTTTGGTTTCACTTTTTGGATCTGGGCTGGCACCATTCCACAAAAGAACATACTTGGGGACTATTCTATAGAGGGGGGGTTTGGTTTCCATTTTATAGCAGCTGATCCAAAATGGGCCTTGGAAATACAGCTTCCTATCCAGTAAGGAATCCAGTAGGTGGTCTTTTTCCTGATCAATGGGACTCAGTGTTTAAGTGTTTGGTGGGTAATCTGTTTGAGGTGGTGGTCAGTGTCAGGCCGGGTTTTCGTTTTATAGGAGTGGCAGGGGGACTTGTCAGTGGGCCATGATAATGCAAATTAAATTGCTGTAATGTATATAACAGAAAAAGTAATCAACACTGTTAACGAATCAGCGTTTAGCAGGGCTGCTCCTATAAAATGGAAACCCAACACCACTCCCAAAAAATGGTTCCCAAGGATGTTCATATCCGAAAACTTTGGGCTTTGGAAATGCAGCTTCCTATCCAGTAGGGGGATGTAGCGGGTCTTTTTCCTGATCAATGGGACTCAGTGTTTAATTGTTTGGTGGGTAATCTGTTTGAAGTGGTGGTCAGTGTCAGGCCGGGTTTTCATTTTATAGGAGTGGCAGGGGGACGTGTCAGTGGGCAATGATAGTGCAAATTACATGCTGCAACAGTAACAGAAAAAGTAATCAACACTGTCAACGAATCAGCTTTTAGCAGGGCTGCTCCTATAAAATGGACACCCAACACCACTCCCAAAAAATGGTTCCCAAGGATGTTCAGATCCAAAATTTTGGGCTTTGGAAATGCAGTTTCCTATCCAGTAGGGGGTCTTTTTCCTGATCAATGGGGCTCAGTGTTTAATTGTTTGGTGGGTAATCTGTTTGAAGTGGTGGTCAGTGCCAGGCCAAGTTTTCATTTTATAGGAGTGGCAGGGGAACTTGTCAGTGGGCAATGATAGTGCAAATAAAATGCTGTAACAGAAAAAGTAATCAACACTGTTAGCGAGTCCCCTATAAACTGACTGGGTAACAGTGTTGATTAATTATTCGTTTACAGTATGTTTCAATATGTTACAGTATCATACAGTATTTACAATATTATTGCCCACTGACACCTCCCCTCCCACTCCTATAAAATGAAAACCCAGCCTCATACTGGCCACCGCTTCTAACAAATAACCCACTATAGAATGAAGAACTTGGTCCCAGTGATTAGGAAACAGACCCCCTATAGAATAGAAACCGCTATTTCCAAGGCCCAAAATGTGGTTCACATTTGGGCTGGCATCTTTCAAGCAAAAAAAAACGTGGGGCCCATTTTTTGAAGAGTGTCTGGATTTCCATTTTATGATAAAACACTGAGTCCCAGTGATCAAGAAAAAAACATACTAAATAGGAAATGTTTTTTTCCAAGGCCCAAAGTTTGGTTTCACATTTGGATCTGGGCTGGCACGTTTCAAGCAAACAAATCCTTGGGAACAATTTTTTAGAAGAGTGGTTGGATTTCCATTTTAAATATATTTTTAAAGGAGCAGCCCTGCGCAAAACTGACTGGGTAACAGTGTTGATTAATTATTCGTTTACAGTATGTTTCAATATGTTACAGTATCATACAGTATTTACAATATTATTGCCCACTGACACCTCCCCTCCCACTCCTATAAAATGAAAACCCAGCCTCATACTGGCCACTGCTTCTAATAATCCACTATAAAATGAAAAACTGAGTCCAAGTGATTAGGAAAAAGACACCCTATAGGATAGAAACCGCTATTTCCAAGGCCCAAAATGTGGTTCACGTTTGGGCTGGCATCGTTCAAGCAAAAAAAACTTGGGGCCCGTTTTTTTGAAGAGTGGTTGGATTTCCATTTTATAATAAAACAATGAGTCCCAGTGACCGGGAATAAAACCTACTGAATAGAAAATGTTTTTTCCAAGGCCCAAAATGTGGTTTTACATTTGGATCTGGGCCGGCACCTTTCAAGCAAACAAATCCTTGGGAACAATTTTTTAGAAGAGTGGTTGGATCTCCAGTTTAAATATTTTTAAAGGAGCAGCCCTGCACAAAACTGACTGGGTAACAGTGTTGATTAATTATTCGTTTACAGTATGTTTCAATATGTTACAGTATCATACAGCACTCACAATATTATTGCCCACTGACACCTCCCCTCCCACTCCTATAAAATGAAAACCCAGCCTGGCCACCGCTTCTAACAAATAAACCACTATAGAATGAAAAACTTGGTCCCAGTGATTGGGAAACAGACCCCCTATAGAATAGAAACCGCTATTTCCAAGGCCCAAAATGTGGTTCACGTTTGGGCTGGTATCTTTCAAGCAAAAAAAACTTGGGGCCCGTTTTTTTGAAGAGTTGTTGGGTTTCCATTTTATAATAAAACAATGAGCCCCAGTGACCAGGATAAAAACCTACTGAATAGAAAATGTTTTTTCCAAGGCCCAAAATGTGGTTTTACATTTGGATCTGGGCCGGCACCTTTCAAGCAAACAAATCCTTGGGAACAATTTTTTAGAAGAGTGGTTGGATTTCCATTTTAAATATATTTTTAAAGGAGCAGCCCTGCACAAAACTGACTGGGTAACAGTGTTGATTAATTATTCGTTTACAGTATGTTTCAATATGTTACAGTATCATACAGCACTCACAATATTATTGCCCACTGACACCTCCCCTCCCACTCCTATAAAATGAAAACCCAGCCTGGCCACCGCTTCTAACAAATAAACCACTATAGAATGAAAAACTTGGTCCCAGTGATTGGGAAACAGACCCCCTATAGAATAGAAACCGCTATTTCCAAGGCCCAAAATGTGGTTCACGTTTGGGCTGGCATCTTTCAAGATTTTCAAGCAAAAAAAACTTGGGGCCCGTTTTTTTGAAGAGTGGTTGGATTTCCATTTTATAATAAAACAATGAGCCCCAGTGACCAGGATAAAAACCTACTGAATAGAAAATGTTTTTTCCAAGGCCCAAAATGTGGTTTTACATTTGGATCTGGGCCGGCACCTTTCAAGCAAACAAATCCTTGGGAACAATTTTGTAGAAGAGTGGCTGGATCTCCAGTTTAAATATATTTTTAAAGGAGCAGCCCTGCACAAAACTGACTGGGTAACAGTGTTGATTAATTATTCGTTTACAGTATGTTTCAATATGTTACAGTATCATACAGTATTTACAATATTATTGCCCACTGACACCTCCCCTCCCACTCCTATAAAATGAAAACCCAGCATGGCCACTGCTTCTAACAAAAAATCCACTATAAAATTAAAAACTGAGTCCAAGCCATTAGGAAAAAGACCCCCTATAGAATAGAAAACTGGGTTTGCAAGGCCTCAAGTTTGGTGTCACTTTTGGATATGTTTTTCCCGAAAACTGGATGGGCGCAATCCAGGTACCATTCTATGGTAAAAACTGGCCTACCAACTTCATCTCTATAGAATCGTATGCCCAGGTTCTGTATTCTCTAGAGTTAATTCCAAGGAGGATGCGCTAGTAATTTTCCTTTTAAAAATCCTTTTAAAAAGTGCTTCAAAATCGTCTTTTTTCTGCTTTGGCGTCGAGAGCTGCAATTTCCGACACCATTGCGCATAGTTCTGTTGTGTTTTGCAACTCAACTCAGTCTCTGCAGATCGCATTGGAATGGCCGCGTCAAGGTTGCTTGGCGCAGCGGCTGCATGCGTAATACTATTGTCTTTTGCAGCTGAAGATCGTAAATCGTATTGGAATGGGTGCATCAAGGCTGCGACAGGATTAGTAGTAGTAGTACTGGGAAGTGATTCATGAAAGCTTAGATGACATATGAGAAGAGATGAGATGAGAAGAGATGAGCTGGGATAAGTTGAGAAGGGCTCAGATGAGATGAAGTGTGGAGTGTGAAGAGTGCAGTGTGAAGTGTGGGGCGTGAAGAGTGCAGTGCCAAGTGTGAAGTGTGAAGTTTGGAGTGTGAAGAAAGCAGTGAGAAGTGAGAAGTGTGAAGTGTGGACTGTGAAGTGTGAAGTGTGGACTGTGAAGTGTGAAGTTTGGAGTGCGAAGAGTGCAGTGTGACGTGTGAAGTGTGAAGTGTGGAGTGTGACGTGTGGAGTGTGGAGTGTGGAGTGTGAAGTGTGAAGTGTGGAGTCTTAAGAGTGCAGTGTGAAGTGTGGAGTGTGAAGTGTGTAGTGTGGAGTGTGAAGAAGACTGCAGTGAGAAGTGCGAAGTGCGAAGTGGAGCTTCAAATGTGACATGTGAAACAAGACACCAGTTTCGCAGAGTGCACGCACGCACGGGCTTGGCTGGTGCACAGCGCAGGCAAGCTCTATAGATGAGAAAGGTCTTATGTATATCTTTAAGGCAACTTCCGCCCCGCCTCGTGCGGGTGCTACTGTGTTATATATATATATACATATAATATTACATTCCATGGTGTTCCCAGTCCACTCAAAATCATGTAGTCCTAGGATCATAGAAGCAGCTGTTGGGCTTCATTCTTCAGTCTCTCTTCAGTCTCTAGGAAACGACAAACCATTGAAATATTGTCCAAACCAGTGGGAATACTGAGGCGTTCAAACCCCGGAACATTCTAAACCACCTGACCTTGAAAGCATGGAATCACCCTGAAATCAAAAGGGAAAAGTCACTATTTGATCTGTAAGAGAAAGTTGGCCACAGCGACGGTCGAATCCAGTGCTGATGGGCTGCACCGCTACAATTCGGTGAGGAACACAGTAGGGAGTAATTGCACAAGGTGGATTCACTGGAGCATCTAGTCACATCTAGTCATGCTTGCTGAGGCATTTTGCTGGCACTTGCTTCCCTAGTTACCACCTGGCTACAAACTGACAAATTTCACAGTATCGTCAGGATCAACCAAGAAAAATATCAAATATAGAAGAACCTGGCAAACGTGCCGCCACGTGCCATCAAGCTGCTGAGGATCCACTGGACCAGAGAAGCTGTCATACGGCTTTGTGCAATCAAGAGGATCAAACCCTGAGTCACAGGCAGAGCTTGTCAAGCACGGCTGGATGTTCTCTTCCACACAGGTGCTAAGACAAACGTCACGGGGTCGTACCCAGCTTGGCTCAATCATTGTACCTTCTGAATAGTCGTTCCAAGTGATCACCTTTCCAGCGGCAACTGCTTGAACACGTGAACAGCAATGCCTAGATTTGACAAGTGCTCAATACTAAGCAAGAGTAAACAAGGACTGACTCAAAGGGAAAGGAAAAATCAAAAGTGATGCATAAACTCAAAAGTGATGCATATACAACTAATGTGTATAAATCCTAATATCACATAATGTGTATATAATATATAGTTCTATATGCATATCATATCTACATAGTATTCATAAGTAGCCCTAATCTCGACCATCTCCAAATTGAGTAATTGCGTAAATCAGCCTCAAA